GTTAGAGGAATCCCACCTGATGGAAACCCATGTGAACACGGGGAGAACAGACAAACCACACACAGCTACCACCCTAGGGACTGAACCCCTGGCATTGAAATGCTAACCACTGTGCCACCATACCACCCCCATCTACTGTACACATAACCTTCCAGTTAAGTTCCCTGCAAGCATTTGAATTAGAGACATTGTGAGCTTAAATAAATTGTAACGCATACGGCCATCAGGGTGTGTAAGAGCCGAGTGTAAGAGCTGTAGTCCTGTGATAGCAGAACTACAGCTAGGGGCTGTAGGGAGATCTCTCTTTAGCTCACCGGGCTGGGTCCCTTTTTAGTGACGCGGGAGTCCCGGGTTCGAGCCCCTGACGGTGGGGGGCCGACCTAATGCGGCAAGGGCGCCCGCCTGAACCCCTGTTGCGTTACATTGGTGCCAGGAGTGGGATGGGATAGCCCTTCGCCGGGGACGGCGAGTTAAGCATACGGAGAGTGTAACGCATACGGCCATCAGGGTGTGTAACAGCCGGCTTACTGGAGCGGTGACGTCACCACCCTTCCCTGCAATAGCAGGACTACAGTCACTGGGCTGTGGACAGATCTCTCTTTAGCTCACCGGGCTGGGTCCCTGTTGAGTGACGCGGGAGTCCCGGGTTCGAGCCCCCGACGGTGGGGGGCCGACCTAATGCGGCAAGGGCACCCGCCAGAACCCCCGTTGCGTTACAATATTCAAATCTACACACTCGAACTGTAATTTCATGCTTTCATCTGGCTCCAGCTTCCCTTTAAAATAGTAAGAATTATTTTGTGTCATCAATATCCAGGATTGGTAAATCCTTTGTAATTAGCTGAGTAGCATTCTACCCCCATTGAAATGTAATGAAATATAATCAGTGTGCTTATACAGTATATCAGCCTTTTCAAATCATTAAGTTGCACTTTTGCTATATAATTTACCCTGATTTATAATTATGATAGTTAATAGTGTTATTACGTTTTTATACGTAAGTGAAACAGTGCAAAAATAAAAGACAGGATAAAGCCATTTATTTCAGTTTTCTGTCTTCTTTACTTTCCACGAAGTAACCTATTTTACCAGAATAAAATAATTAAATTTTGTTTTCATTTTCAAAACATTTTCCATTATTATCATCCTCCTTTGCATTATTTGTTCTTTCTAGCATTTCTCTTTTCTTTATTTATCAGTGCTTACAACTGATTACAATGTTACAGTTCTCCATTTCTTTAACTGGATCGTCTTATGAAATCATTTCAACTCAGTTTCTAACTGTTTTATTAAAGCATTTGGACTACTGCTTTTTTCAGCTTGATTTACTTCTGAGATGAGTCTGTTCTGGGCTTCAAGCAGAATATCTTGCCATCTTTTCTTGACTGATTCATCCTCCTCTCCTTTTCTACATAATCTAAAATCAATTTCATGTGTTCATAGTTTGCTTTCCTGAAATTATAAACCTGTGTATCAGATATTCTCTCTCATTACAGTTTCAAAGTTCCCTAATGTTTATCTAACCTCTACTTCCTTCTTTTTGGTTAATCTATGTTGCTTTCCTATACCACCTGTCCTGTCCTTGTGGAATACTGTGAATGTTGGATCCTTCCTTAGCCATGTTGCTGTAGATCTAATTACATAATAGTTTCATGTTGTTAATGCGGTAGTTTCTGTCTCTTGTGCTTTGTTCCTAAAAATCCTGGCATTTACATATGAGCCTGTCATTCCCCAGTTCTTTGTTGTTTTTTTCTTCACTTTTCATCTCTACTCCCTATGTATATCCTTCCAGATTTTCTTTGGATTCTACCCCTTGTGTCTGCACAATAGCCTTTGCCAAAGAAAGGTTTCCAGTGGTCAAGAAAGCTAAAGCCTTCTCCAGCACATTATGTCTTAAACATGTGTTGTATTTTGTCAGCTTTGCGTAGTGCTGGCTCTGAATTACACAGCAAGTTTGTGCAGCATCGATTTTTTTTTTTCCTCCTGGGTCATTTCCCTTCATCCATCTTAATGATGTCTTTTCAGAAGCTATTGTACAGCAGGAGCAGGCCGGCACAAAAAATAACAACCAAAAATGAGGGGAAAAAGCCTGATCACGCAGAGCATTTAAAAAGAAGACAACCAGCAAACAAAATAAATAAATATTGCATAGGATTAATTCTGTCATTTGCAGCACAATCCTTGACTTCTGAACATGCCACACAGCTGTTCTGCTGCTCCGCTTAAGTGGAGCCTCTGCCACTGATCACTGATATGCACTGCAGCCCCCTCGTCTCTGTTCTCATTCTCTTATTTTTTCCACTTCTTACAGGCTTACAGGACAGCAATCTGATTTCAGAAGAGTGATACTGGAGCAACCCAGTAGAAGGTTGCTAGGCTTTTGTGCTCGTTTCTGTCTGAGCTGTTTCCATTACCCTGAGCATCAGGAGGCTCTTGCTCACTTTAAGTGGAGCATCAAAGGTACAGTATATCCTCCTGGGCATGACTTTAGGAGGACTGTGGGATGGTTACACCCAGAGACAGTGATTCTGCAAATGCAGTATCATTGTTGCTATTGACATGTACAGATCTTCCATTTTTACCGTTATACGCTATTATGCGCAAACGAACACATTTGCGAGGTGGGTCAAAATCACGATCTGGCAAAAACAATGGTTATCATCGTGTGTTGAGTGTCTGTGACTGGCTGAAACTTTACATTATCTTCCACACAATTTCTGTTATTAATTGCAGATGTTTAGATTAAAGAGCTTTCAAAATGTCTGGCAACACAAAAAAAAAACTACATCCAGCAAAGCAAAGCCTGTGTCAGGATAGTCATGACTGAATTCTTTGTTGAGTTAAAAAAAAAATGAGGTGGACGAAATCCCTCTGAGGAGAAAGGATTAAATACATGTTTTTTCATTTTAGTCTAAGAGTGAATGGGAATAACAATTTTACAAATCCCTGTGTTTACGATATACAACATTTTGCTGGTTTTGTTTTTTCCCCAAAACATTTTAACTTGATCGTAAGCACTGCAATCTTTTGGTCTATGTCTAGATATGATGTATTTAGAAAAGCCCTGAAAACCAAGAACAGGAGGTGCGTTTTTACACAAAGGGTGGTGGGAGTGTGGAACAAGCTAGCCAACCTTGATGTTGAAGCTGAAACCCCAGGTTCTTTCAAGAAACAGCTGAATTTGATCCTAACAACAATTACTGTAGCTACTAACTACCTGTCACAATTATAGTCCCCCCCCCTTAAGGGTGCTCCAGCCCTTTCACTAAGACTTTATTCTCTGCACCTGTTCCCTATTCCCAGCCCACCTTAAAAGCCAGGCGCTGACGCTCATCCGGGCTCTGCATCTGATTTCCATATCGTGCGAGTCCGGGACCTGGAAGCGCCTGGTCCCGTTAAGGTTTTAACCTCTGTTCCCATTCCTGTTCCCCGTCCGCCGGTTCCGACCCGGTCTTCGTGGTTTTTAATTCTTTGTTCTGATGGATCTCCTGGTTTTGGACTTACTCTTGGGTTTTGGATATTCCCTAAGGACTACTCTCGGATTGTTTGCCTCGGCCACACCTCCCCCGTGCACCAGCGCACCTTGGACACGCCCCCTTGTCTTCAGCCCCGTTTTCCTGCATGACGTTTCCCTTGTGTTTCCCCACTCCGTCGGGATTGTGTCGTCCGCATAGGGTCCGGAAAGAACTGTTCGTTACACTAACAACATGCTATAGAGGGGCTGAATGGCCACCTATCATTTGAAGGTGTACTTATGGTCAATATATGTTTTTACAACTGAGAACAGTTCATGCTAAAGCATGAAACAAAACAGAAACTCATAATGCCTCTTGATGCCCTCTGCAGCAGATAAAATAAATCCATGCTTCTGGTGAGTTAAACAAAGCCTTGACACACCTGGGATGTTTTCCACTCTGCTGGTCCTGGTTGAGGAAGAAACCACAGTATTAGCTTAGTCAAGTGTTTAACTGTGTTTCATGGTGACAACTGCAGAGCCAGTTATCCACAGGGCGACTGTTGGTACAGTGTACTGCCAATTGGATACATTTGGTTTATGGTGTGATGAGGAGCAACTGGTTAAATACTATGACTAGCAGATGCCTGACTGACACAGCTATGGTTTACTGCCTTGAGGAAAAAAGTGGGATTTTTGGAGATTCTGTAAAACATGTTGGTGAAAGAAAAGGTGAAAAATATATTTCCTATACAATATTCTAGACCAGTATCAGTAACCACCCATAGATTTGCATCTAACTTTCCATCTGTAAACTCCATATATTGTGCAGGGGTATACTGTAATAACCTTCAATCACAAAAACAAAACAGTATTTCCTACAGTGTTAGTCTTCTGGCAAAGAAGGCACTTGTGAAGACAATCAGGTCAATAGACTGCTACCTGCTGTATTCTCGATAGAACACAACACACTGACAGAATGGCGACTATCTGTGAATATGCCTTGCAGATTGCAAAATCTTTCAGAAACCTTATTTGCATTAACGTCAGCCTTGGTTAGTAAGTTATTCTCAGGTCTTAAAACTTGATATACAGATTCACTTCTAGGTGCGCGATCACTATTTCAAACCAATGGTATACTATGCTGTTTTTCCCCCTATTGGGACATTCTGTTGAGGCGATATTGACGATGTGTCTTACATTGCACAAAAATAATTAATCAACTTCGGTGTACAAGATCTATGCAGTAACAGTCCATTAAAGTTAATATTAATAATGTCGTATGGACTGGACAAACGATGTCTTTTGTAGACCACATGGAGACCCGAAAACAACAACAAAAAAATAGTTATCTACACTGTCCGAAACAGATTAGCGCCGTACGCCAATAAATGCGCACTATATTTGGATTCCATTATTATTAAATGTCTCACTCGAGAAAGTACAGCGTGCTCTCTTTACCTGTCCTATCCACGAGATATTAAAAAATACAAAAAAAAAGAAAGAATTCCGTTCTTCTCTGCAACATTTTCTTCTAGTCTGTTATACCACAGTAAACTTAAAAGCGAGCGACCGCGTGTGTCCGGGAACCTTGTGCATAATGAAAAGACCAGCAGCTCAAGCAAAACAAATCACCTACACACGGAACAGAAACCATGCCTGGCTAAAAAAAAAAACTATTTGAAATGCAGTTTTCAAGTATCACCGTGTACAAATAAAAACCTCGATCATCTGACACCGCCTGTAAGTAAAGCTAATGGTTTCTGCTGCGTTGCTATTGCGTCTCGTAGCCTCTGCTCTGTATGTATGGACTTGCTTGAGGACCTGGAAAGAGCTATACACAGCAGCACCAGCAGTTAAGCGGGCAGATCGCAAACAACCCGCTTCCCCGTGTTTTGTTTTTGTACAGTGATCTGGAGCTAAAAAACACGGATGCTGGATTTTCTATACTTTACTAGCTTTAAAGAAAGCGACGGGACCGTAGGCGATTCCAGTCCCCGGGCAGAGCGACACGTTTCTTTCTTTAAAAATGATCAGAGCGAGAACAGCTCCGTTTCCCAGCGATCGGGAATGGCGTTCGTATTTCGGCAAGAATAAAGAGTCTTCGGGTATGAAGACATACTGAGTCGAGGAGGGAAATAATAAAAACGGAGCGCCACGAAGGAGGAGAGCGCAAAACCCGAGAGTGAGACATTTACTGTACATGATGAAAAGCAATGGCCTAGATCTGGAATCGTCTGGAGTTGGTCTGCCACCCTGGGCTCATTGAATGCTGTTTGGGGGCTTTTATTTGACTACCTGCAGGAGACGAAGGGGATAATTGCTGTAATCGCTGATTGCGACCTTAGTGGAAGACCTGCGCTGTTCCTTAAAACTTTGGGATCACTTCTTTTATACTGTACTTTTTTTATATAAATATGTATTTTTTGTAGGAAATATTTTTTTTTCCCTTTGCAATAAAGTGGATCTAGTGGTCGCCTATGTCTTGGTGTGTAATGTGGCGCTGCTAGAGGTGTGAGCTTTTGTCGACAGACAAAACTAACAATGGCAGTGACAACAGAATCTGATCATTTTCGGGGTAAATCGATTTGCACTTTCGAGAACAGCAGCCCCTGGGCTCCCAGTCGCAACGGGTATGTGAAGACGTATGTCACCCCTCTGTCTCCAGACCGGGACTGCGGATCGTGGGTAGGGCTGATGATGACAAAGATCTGGAACTCCAAGAGACTTTCGTCTGCGTTATGCGTGGGGTCGCTTTCGGTCTTTCTCGCTCTGGTGGTGAAATTTGTGAACGGGGAACTCGAGCACAACAGCCGCAGCAGCGGCGGCGGCGGTAGCAGCAGAGGCAGCCGAGACAGCCAGACGGGGTCCCCAGTTCACTCCGCGTCAGGGTGCGCGGTGGATCAGTTGCAGTCCTGGGGGCACTTGGTATCTCATCTCTTCACCTTAGTATGTGCCTTCTTCTGGGTGGGCTTGTATCTGATGCGCTGTGGAGTCCCGTTAAAAACTGCCCTTTTCCTCCTGACTGTCTGGCACCTGGGAGAAGCAGCAGCCCAGTGTCTCCTGCTTAGTGCGGACGAACTGCTGTCTTTCACGGCAGCCGTGGTGACACTCGCTCTTTTGGCAGGCGGAGCACTCATGTTGGTGAGACTGAAGCGGGGCATTTCTGTTGTCATCTTCATCAGCTTGGTCAGGACGATCTCGCTCCTTTCGCTAAACAAGGTCCGGGCCAGTTGGAGACCTTACTTGGCGTACCTGGTCGGGGTCCTGGGCATTCTGCTGGCGAGGTATGCTGACAGGCTCCTGCCGAACCAGGGGACTCATAAGGAGGGCTGTACCTCCGTGACTGGAGCGAAGGAAGAGATCCCGGTATTTAAAAGGAGAAGGAGGTCCAGCTCGGTAATATCATCAGACATGGCACACGGTCAGCCTAGCGGCAACAAGACACACAGAAGAACTTCGCTGCCTTGTATTCAAAGGGATCAGGTAAGGAAGAGATTAAGGACGAGCATGTACGGATTACACAGCAGTTGCCAAGTCCGACTTTGCTCGGGATTTCTGGGCATGTACAGTGGGATAGGATAACGGGGCCTGGGAGGCACTGGATTAAAGTCAGAGTATTAATGCAATCTCACTTCTATCCGTTTCCCCTGCGGCAAAGTAATATATTGGGAATAAAAGTGGATTTATGTTTTTTTTAAGTAAATTGCTTGAACTGTTTACCCTTGAATGATCCCTGACATATTTATATGTGCGGTAGGATTTTGGCTGTGATACAGTATATAAATGCAGTGCTTGTTCTGTGTAAGGTTTACTTTTGTTTTTCGTTTGCTATACACTTTGCGTTTGCGTATACTTCTGTACTGTATGTGAGTGACGGTAACCTTACTGTAGCCTTACTTTTATCAAAGTAGCTGGATGTCTCAAAAACTACAGAAACAGATATACAGTATACAGAAAGCGACAGAAGTTTGAGAGACATACAATATGCTGTACATAGAACTCAGGCCACTCAATTTTAAAAGAAAATCCTTTACGATTTGAAGACAGAGCTTACTAAAAATCCTTTCACCCAAACAGCAGAAATACTTTTTAGTTATGGTTCATAGTTTTTAATGGAAAGCGCTGTGCTGTGCAGTACATGGCATGATCGTCTTTGGAAATTAAAGAGACTGTGTGTTACCTAGAGATGCTTAAGCAGAAAGCATAATTCTGATAATATTTCTGAACCCAGACCTACGGTTCACCAACTTTGTAAGGTACAGTAGGTGCTCGTTTAGGGGTGATCACTTTAAGCCTGTGATTAAGGACTGAATTTACAGTAAAAGGACAGGGGAGCTTGCTCATTAAAAACTGCAGAGCAGTGCAGTCCATAGAACTGCAAATGTTCTTGGGAACTTTAGTCATCGCTCGCTTTCCAAAGAACAGCAAACGAATAAGACAGAATCTGCAAATAGCATATTAAAAATAGATCAATACAGTCCTTGGCATATTCATCTCTACTCGTGTCAAAATGCGTCCTTTAAAGCGTACAGATTTGATCATTTGCATGGTTAATGGGTCAAACATAGATTTTCTGAATATTTTGATACTGTACTGTATGAAAAAATATCAATAAACATTAATCCTGATTTTTAAACAAAAAAAAAGAAAACCACCTGATCAATTAACAAAATCCAGGAATATACGTATTAACGACATATTTGTGAGTTTCCCATAAAATGTATAATTATTACAGTAGCCTGTTATAGATATCCTGAGGCACAGCGGCGCCTATAAATTGGTGATGAAGCCGCTTTTTTCTTGATGCGAATTAACTTTAGTCTAAATATCGGCGTGCGAAATACGTTGTTTATAAGTAGCCAACTACAGATGGAGAAAAAAAAAGTTCTCTCGATTTAAATGTGTGGTACAGTAACATCTAAGACACCCAAGTGTAAATAAATCTGAATCTGAGGTTTAAGTGCCATCACGTTAAATTTCGAAAGTAATGTGTGATTTGCATTTTTTTCTGTTTTACTATGGGATAATAAGTAGGTGAAATTGTTGGAGTAAACTGTCGCCTTAGTGAGCAACGTTTGGCCGTGTGAGTTCTGCTTTCTCTTCAGAATGTACAGTGTATGCATTTATTTTAGGGGGTTTTAACTCATGAGGCAATGTTGAAAATATGAGCAAAGGAGGCAGGTCCTGTAAAATGTTATCAGTGTAACACAAACATCATGTGTAGAATTCGTCGAAAAAGTGATGGATTTCTTCCTAAACTGTTACAGATTACAGATGACATGATAACTGATCTCCATGTGCATGAGTGAGCAGAGTCTCAACACCGCAGATAATACTGCGTTGTCGGAGAACAGGATCGGCTTGTGGTTACTTCAGATTCTTGGGAATTGTGGATTTTTGGACTGTCCGTGTCCTTATCGTGTTTTGTAGAATCACATTTAGATTCTTTGAAAGCTCTGTGTCTTGGTCAAGACTTAACTACAGTTCTTTTACGAAATGAAAGACTGTGTGCTACTGTATGTACAGTATGGACTCTTCTAGAGATCTCATGGTTTTTTAATTATCTTGACCATATGTTGTTAAGAGCACATCTAATATAAAGTTTAAAAAATCACAATTTACGGTCCTGAGCTTATCCCTCTCAATTTATACCTCACTTTAACCAGAATTTCACTTCTAAAGTGAAATTTTAGTTCAAAACTCTGGCTGTTTGAGACGTTGCACTGTACTCGTTGAAATGTGCTTTATGAATTAGAAATATCTCTGTGAGCACGCAATCAGAACAGTCTTTTTTATTTTAACCTTGGACATTATTTTACTCTCATTTACTGTACTTTTTAGCACAATACACACATTGAATACCGGTTTGATTAATTTATTATCCCTTGATTGGTTGTCATAACATGCTGCCCACATGTTGATTTTAAAAGACATTGAATAATGGATAAAATAAAGTGACAAGGGGAAAAACATAAAAAAACTTTATTAGCTTTTCATTACTAGTTATGTGTTTTGAATACAATTTCTTTGTAAACCGTTTACAGTGTATATTTCTAAAAATGCATTTTAAGTGAATAAAATTATAGTGGAATATAAATGCTATCATTAAAAAAGCTAAACGTATTGATGAAACACGTTAAACCTTTATTTTAATATTACTAAATATTTTATTTTTTAATAACGACAACATTGCTGAACATTAAATAGGATTAGGGACGCTTTTGGTAGGCTGAATTCAAAGTGGAGAATATCACCAACCAATGGCTGCTTTTGTGATAAAAAGGTAATAACAAACAGTAATGTATATGTTTTTATTTGGAATTTTCTTAGTTCTACGGATTTGCTGTATCTACTGCATTTCGTTGTCCGGCTTCATCAGTATTGGAAGGAGCCCTCTAGTGACTGCGTTGTGTAACTACAGACAACGGGAAGTCCGTGTGTTCAAAGACGGAATTTTGTATGACAACACGATTTTAAAAACAAATGTTTGGAAAAAAAAAACACATTGCAGCACCATGAATAATTTTAGCATTTCTAAATCAGAATATCTTTGTGCATAATGCATTGTTACGTTTCTTCTGTGCATATTTGGGAAGCTGCAGTGACTGTTTTAGAAGTCTACAATTTATTTTGTATAAGACCTTTAGGGATCTACGCCACAGGCAAAGAACAGGGATGATTAAATGAGAGAGCTGCTTGTCCAGAGATTATAGCCTTAACCGGACACTCCTCATGCATGACTGATACTGCCATACTTGACATTTTCTTAATTTGAGAGATAACAAGTAGCCATTATTATCTGTGTACAATAAAAGAGGAATAGCTATGCTTAAGGCTATTATTAAGTACTGTAGTTCTTATTTGGCTAAATAAAATGGAGATTTCTGACATTTATCACAATACATGGTAACTGTTTACTGTTGCATATCAGAATATAAGAAATGAGAGGTGGCTATCTGGCCCATCAAGTTCGTCTGGTTTTCAGTAGCTAATAAATCCAAGAGACTCATCCAACTGATTCTCGAAAGAAGCCAGGTTATTGGCTTCTACAGCATACCTGGACAGCTTGTTCCATGCACCCACAGCCCTTTGTGTAAAGAAGTGCCTCCTGTTCCTGGTTATAAATGCACTTCCATTTACAGTATGGTTTCCAGCATGTTTCACTGTTTAGTCTAAAGTCCGCCCAGTTGACAAGGGTGTCTAGATCAGTGTCTTTGATAGTCTGTATCATTCCCCCCTTGAAGTCTTCCATGTTTAAGACTAAAAAGGTTGAGTTTTTTTAGCCTCAGTGTATGCCATTCCTTCCTCTTTCCCAGAATCCCGCTGGGTGCTTTTCTCTGGACTGATTCAAGGGCTGAAATATAATTCCTATAAAGTCGTGAGCAGAATTGTATGCCATGTTCTAAATGGGGTCTTGCTTGTGCATTGTGTGGTTTAACATAACACTATTGCCTGCCATTTTGTTTGCCTTGTCTACTTTTGTGTAATTGTGTATTGTGTAAAGGAATGGTGTGCCTTCTGATTTGAAAATATATCAGATCAATGAAAATTTAGAATTTTCTTCTAAGCGAAGTGGTATATAGTATATATTTTATAGATTACATAGAAGGTGTCCTCCTAGGTTCAAATTTAAAATGAGTGTTCTATGGGTAAAATTCAGTAGCACAGCTACAGTGCCTTGGAAAAAATATTCACACCTTTCCTATGGTGTCCCATTTAGTCAAATTCCAAAATAATGCATGCACACGTTTTGAGACTTGAATGCTCAAGATGAAGACTTCTAAAGGCAAGATACATTCCAGCAAATGACGGCAAAAACTTTAGTTTGGTTTTAGTTTTAGAGTATGAACTGAAATACTGAATGTTAATTGCATATGTATTCAGATCAGTGATCTCAGTATCAGATGGAAGCACCTCTGGCAGCAATTACAACCAAAAGTCGTTTAGGATACGTCTCTACCAATTTTGCATAACAGCCTGGAGTAATATTTGCCCAGGCTTCTTGGCAGATTTACTCAATTTCTCTCAAGTTGGACGGAGATCACTTATGGACAGCAGTATTCAAGTTGTTTAAGATTCTCAATAGGATTCAAGTCAGCACTTTGACTGGGAAACCCAAGAACATTCTTTTTCTTAACCTTAAGCCACTCCTGCGGAGCTTTAGCGTTGTGCTTTGGATGAGATTGATTTGTGCCCCAGTTTTAAGTCTGTAGTAGTTTTAAATCTAAGTGAAAGAGGCTTTTTTTTTTACTTTTTGCCTGTACTGTGATATGTCCATTTTCCTTTAATCGTAACGAGATTTACCGTCTCAGCTGATGAGAGCAAAAATATAATAGAATGTTGCCTTCACCATGCTTGGCAGTAGGAATAGGTTTAACTGAATGATGCACTATGTTGTGTTTGCAACAGAGGTGATGTTTTGCAAAATAATTTGCCAAATGTTTGCAGCATCACAGGTGCTTTGCTGCATATCCCATTCCGGA